GCAGTTGACTTCGCCAGATGGTGAAACAAACGCGGTTTGTGGGGAACATCATGACAACTGCGTGGTGGACTGCAAAGTGGTCTGCGAACCAGACAGTGTCAACATATTGGTCAAGTAATTATTGCATATTGGCTTCCCTTAATTCAAACTTAAAGTTCATTCTGAAGCTTTTATATTGCTGAATTTATACTGTTTCATCATGTTGAACAAGTTCAATTTGAAATTGGGTGAAACCTCCGTTATTCAAATTTTTTTCCTTCTTTTGTTATAAAATTGTGGCCACCTTTAAACAGCACATGTTCAAAAAAACAAAAAACAAAACCAAGCGCAAATTATTTTTATTTAGGGATGAGGCAGATTCCTGTGAATTGGACTGGAAGCAGTTCTAATAATTTGACCTGAAAGAAATTACCATTGATTAACCAACAAAATTCCCTCAAGAGAAAACAGTCCACAAAAATATAATTTTGGAGTCCCTTCCTTAATTTGGATTCTCTCCAAGTTGGACACGTTCATATGATTCTTATTGTACTTCAGAACTCACTGTTATGGTTGTCTAGTTTTCGTTTTAGGTTACATGACACACGTGTTATGACGTAAGGAGTATTAGGAGATATTTATAGTGCCAAGTGCTGCATAATGAAAAAAGGAGTCCATCATCAGAGGCAGAAAACACTTGGCCTAAAATGCTATTCTGACTGATAGTGACATCTACCCGCAATATTATCACTCTTCATTGAGATGGACAGAGTAATCAGAAGTCTGTAGGAATTTTATATAGTAAATTGCAAAGTGATGACTTACTTTGAGCATTTCCAATATGTAAATTTGCAGTACATACAGCAGGCAATTCAAAAGCTTGACACACTCTGTAATTTAATTTGAGGAAGTACAGTCGACCCTCGCACAAAGGACTTAATTGGTGCATTAACAGACTAGTCTGTTACGTAAAAATTCGGTAATACAAATCCAATTATTAAAAAATTAACAATTTTACCTTTTATACCATTAATTTGTAACCAACATAAGTCTGTTAAAAAGATTCAGCTGTCCATTGAGTGGGAGGGAAATCCGCCTCCATAATAAGTAGTCCATTGTGCAAAAATCCATTGCGCGGGAGATATGTTGTGCAGAGGGTCATCTGTAAATTATAAAAATTCTCTGCTTTCCGCCCTCAGGTTTGCCTATCCATTTGAAGGCCTTGTTCGACTCGGAAATAGTCCCTCCAGCGACTGCATAGTCTACTGGTGAGGAGAAAAGAAAAAATAAGGAACTGAGCATTAAAATAAAATACAAATTCAAAATACGAAAACGTGCTGTTTCGGCCATTTTGCAGGCCAGGATCGAACCCGAAAGACACGGTGTTGGTTGCCATCACGTCTTCATGCACACGTCGACTCGCGGTTTTCGGCTACTCCCTTGCGTTAGTGCTACTCTACAAGGCTCACGTGTAAGTTAAACTGTTTCTAGTGCGTTGCGTGCTCCTACAGTTGAAACACCGAGTTACGTGTCCCGGGGAAAAGTACGCCAAAGAAGTTAAATTCAGCTACACCATCACGGATCCCATGCCTGCCTACATTTCTGTGAGTATTATATATGCACATCGAAAAATGGAAATAATTGCGATTAAATATACTGCTGATGTACGAGGGGCTGCCAAGAAAAAACCTGCAAATTTTAGCAGCAAGAAGAAAGATGCGTTGCCTATACATACTTTTGGTCAATTCTGACCTATAATTCCATTTCCTCAAAACGATGATGAGATATAATCTGCATTTATTCGAGCGTCTTCTTTGTTTCGATCGAAAAACTTCCGAAATAAGTTTTAAAATAAAATTAAGCGTGCTTTTTCAGTCTTTTTACTGATGCTGGTGACGGTTGACTAATTTGAATCGCAATTTCCACGAAAACTCCCATATTTTGCGAGACATTATTTTGTTTTCAAAATCTTGAACCTAAAACAATAATTTTCACGTTCAAATAATTTGTATTGTATATGCATCTCTGGGCGGAGTCAGAGTGAATTTTTGTTAGAAGCCGCTGAATAAATGACGTACATTATTTTTGAGAACGTTTGGTGGAATACGAATATTTTTCAGATGATATTCGTGAGACTTTCGATATATGCATCTCTGGGCGGAGTCAGAGTGAATTTTTGTTAGAAGCCGCTGAATAAATGACGTACATTATTTTTGAGAACGTTTGGTGGAATACGAATATTTTTCAGATGATATTCGTGAGACTTAGCTCTTTAGGGGAGAGATACTCTTCACCCGTCTTTTAGAACATCTCCGACTAAAACTCTTTTAAAACCTAAGGAAACTTGAAGACTCTCCTCGTGAGACATAAGTAATGTTTACGAGTTTCGAACTAGCTGCATCAAACTAATCAACTTATACATTCTTTCGAGAAGACGCACGTAATCAAAGAATCGTGCGAATGTTACGCTGGTGTTTAGCTTCTCCAAGGAAAAAAAAATGACAACTTGAATCAGTACTGGTATGTGGTACTCAAGACGAGAATATCGACCTGCTCAATTTCAGCAAGTCGCACACGCAATTGATTTCATTTTGGGAAACGTGAACAACGCAAAAACACATCTTTTTTTGCGGCATTCATTGTGCTGTGCAAGTGTACATCGTTCATATACCGATTTTTCAGAATTACCGCATATAGCCTCGAAAAGAAAAAAACAGAGATACGAACAGAGATGGTGAAATTGGTCTCATTTTATGAACAATTTTCAGCTGACGAAAAAATTGAATTGTTTCCTCATTAATATACGATGGGCTTATTGAATTTCCAGTATCAAGTTCCGGTAGATCCGCCAGTTATTAATTTTCTAACTTCCATTTATATCAATGAAAAAAAGAAAAAAATATCTCTTTATACGCACTGATAAAAGAGCAGCTTTGTCCCAATTCATGCTCAGCAGCAAATGCGCTTCTTTATTAGGTGAAATTGCATTTTGAATCTTTTACAGTTCTGAATGGGTTCGAAACTCATTTACTCGGCCGTGTCGAAAGCACTTCCATTGTTTTGAGAAAAATAATATCTTATACGACATCAGTACCTTCGTGGGCGGGGTTTCATTTTGCATGAGTGTGCTGTTTTTTACACGTGTCGCGCTTGATTTTTTGTCCTCTACTTAAAGATTCCACATGGAGCGAAAAAGTGTGAATCAGAAGATAAATGGGACTGGACTTTTAAACATTCCTCAAATAAAATATTTTTATTGATTGATGGTTATGATTGGGTACTTGCTGCTTGGTGATTATAACAGACTTGAAGAATAAAAATTTTTAAATGTTGGTAAAAATTGAAAGCTTGTCAGCCTTTACCATGAAATATTGTGATTGACAAAAGTTAAATTTATTTTAATGCTCAATAGACATTTTCTTTGAAAGATTATGAATACCATGCAATAATATTTCTAAAATATACTGAGTCAACTTTTTATAAGGGTATATAATCTCCTCCCAACCTAAAGGATCAAATGTGAAATTCCAAAAATATAAGCTCACCTAACTTTCTTCAGATGTTTTTGTGATATTTCAAATGCCTTAGCAGCACACATACAAATTCAGAGAATGGTGTTTGTTGAAAATGGCATTTGAAGTATTGAAGTCCTTGCATATTTTGGAGCCATCCCATCATTAAATTCGATTTTTTTTGTGAATATATTTGCTGACACTCCTTTAATATATGCTACGCATACTCAACTATGTCCATTAAATACTTGTCATCTGATTTGTTTCAGGGTGTACCAAAATACACTCAGAATACCCCATTCTAGCGCATATAGTTTCACTATTTGGAATCTGTATATAGCAACTACATTGCAAAGTAAACGTGTCACCATTGCTGTCTGGTCATGGGTTCTTCCCCTTTCCAGATGTCCCAGTTTAATTTCTGCTCATGCATGGTCATCAGCCTTTTGCAAGAGGCTCAAATCTGTATAAAAATGGTGCTTTTTTACATTACTGTTACTCAATCATTGCTGTTGGTTTATGCTATGTTGTGGTCCTTACTTACTTGAAATATATTCACCCATGCAGTTGTATCAAGACTTCAAAATTCATTTAAAACGCAACCCTGGCCATAAGATCAAATCTTCTCAAGGCTAAAAGTTATCTATATGGATCAGATAGAGGAAAGAACAATTGAAGTTTCACAGAGACCTCTGTCAACAGAGAGAATTTTATTTCATTGAAAATCCAACAAATAGGATGACATACTTTACTCAGAAAAAAGCTCATAAAATGAAGTACTGTACTGTACAGAATTATTGAGTAGGTTTCATGTTGGGAAGAGTTTTATTATTCAATTTCCTGTTATGACTGTATGATGAGCCCTGCATGTATTGTTCCCATTTTTTTTACATTGCATGAAAATAAGGGAGCTGAGTCATCAGCCGCAGTCTTTGATGTAGATGTGAGGAATGGAATTTCACCGGATTCCCCGCGTTTGAAAGGGGAAATCATCATCGGAACCCCGTTGACTCTCGTGCTGAAAATGAAAGCTGTTCACGCGTATTTTCTGGACCTCAAGGTTCTCAGCTGTTGGGCCACATTCGGGGAACCAACAGAGAGGTGCTGTGAGTCCTGAAAATTCAAGTTCAAGTCAGATCCTACTAGTCTTTAATTTCGAATTCTGCAGCTTCAAGGCGAAGAGAAAAAACTGGGACTTTAGCAAGATGAGCCCTTATCCGTTAGAGTTGGTGCAAAATGGCTGCTCTGTCAGGCCAAATGTCTTTGGGAATTTTCACAAGGTTCCTTCCAAGCCGAGCGACAGAGAACTCACTTACTATGCCTTGTTGAGGGCTTTCAGATTTGTGGACTCTGACACTGTGGTGACCAAATGCAAAGTTGTGCTTTGCTATGGGCATTGCCCCGGGAACCACAAGCCTTGTGAAAAGTAAGTCATTTCTGATGAATACAGCTGGCTAACATGCACTAGCTTGATTGTTTCTTTTAAATTCCACACTGCAGAATAACTGACCATATTACGAGTAAGGGTGTGGCAAATTTAATTATGAGTAATTTTTTATGGTGACATCACAATTGCACAGTTGTGTCTCAAATTGTGACACCACCATTATTCAAGACATATAGTTGTACCATGTTTACTCAAGTGCCACATATGTGCCTTAAAATGAGTAAGATTTAAACCTTAATTTTCTTGCTTCGAAGATGCCAAAAACCCTATTCCTGCAGAAAAACCCCCATACGCTTGTTTTGCTGAATATCGAAATTTTAGAAGTACTGTACTGTAATTTTAAGAGATTTTTTAGTTATTAAGGAACAATAAGAAAAATTGTGGCATGATTGCAGCCACAACAGAATTTCCCGTTCAAAATTAGCATCTATACAGAGACCCGTATTTGACTTGAGCAACTTTTTTTCATCAATGCTTTTTTGTACGTACAGTATGTTTAACGACTACATGCCATTTTTTCCATCAGAAAAAAAAGTGAGTGTGGTACAATACTTGCATGTACGCAGTGTGATGCCATTGAGAAATTACCACTCGAGTTCTGAGGCTTATCACACACCTCACTAGCGAAGTTATGATATCCCTTTTAATATCTGGCTAAGTCAGTCTTTTACCTTGCTGATTAACAGCTGAGCCTGACCATATACAGTCCTATTTTTCTGCAGAGCACTATAGTTTATGCAGAACGCACGCTTGACTTGAATATTTTCATGTTTTTTTTGCATGTGAAATGAAGGACAATGGTGGAGCACAACTATCTCAGAGGACCTTCTGACGCACCGGAGCAAAAACCAACAGGGACTGAGGAAGTGGTGAGCATCAGTTACATAGTTTTGCCCTTAATGCATATACAGTATGTACATTCAATTACTTTATTTAAATTAGAGCAAGGGATTTGTTCAATGATTTCCTGTAGATTATATACTTGAAGAAAAAGGCGGACTCCAAAAACAGTTATGATAAAACAGACAAAAAATTTTCAATATACAGTACAGTATTAGAATCTGTGTTTGCAAAATATAGTCACTGGGACCAAAGACATTTTCAAAAGTCAAATTTGAAAAATAGGTTTACCGCATTTACTTCACCAGAATAATTCACTTCCAAAAAACAAAAGGTAACTTGCCTTTCCCCCCCCCCCCAGAAATTATTGCTTTTTGACTCTACCTTTACTACTTCATCAAGTTCAGCATAGTCTAAGAAGTCATCTAATCAATCCATGCGTTAATTACGGTATCAAGAAACGTAATATTTACGTCACATTCTTCGTTGAAGAATGCATCATATCTGCTTTCTTTTGAATATCTTTTTTTCCTTCTTTTTAAACAGTTGGTTCTGAAAGAATCCCACAAAACGCGCTCTGAAAGGGACAAACTGCAGGTCCCACACTCAGCAGCAGTTGCATTCAACCCCCACAATGAAGCGGCGCCAAACTTGCCGCTTCTCATCCCTGGCCACCCAGGTGGCGCTGCTGAAGAGAGACCAAAAAGAGGGACTGCAATCTTGGAAGCAGGGCTAATTAACATTGTGGATCGTGGAAAGTTGGGCAAGGCAGATGGGTATTACGGTTTGTAAAATTCGTATCATGAAGCATCTGAACTGGAGAATTTTCTCGAATCCCACAAGCAATGCTTTAAATTACAATACAGTACATCAAAAAATGACAAGAATTGATCATTTCAGCAGAAAACACAAGAGTAAATATAAAAAAGAGAAATTATGGGCACATGCTTTTTTTATCGCTTTCGCGATGTTGAAAACCGTATTCTCCTTGCATCGAATAAGATATCCGTCCTTTTTTCAAGCATACAAGTGCCGGGCGGTTTGGAAGTTCATTTGATACAGTCAAGCCTCTGAGTCAAACTTCAATAAGGGACCAGGTAAAAAAAAATCGAATTAGGAAGGTTGTGAGTTATAGGGGGAAGAACAGAGAATTATTGCAGTAAATCGTAATTGGTGATATTCTGTGCTTTAAAAGGCTTCTTGAATGAGTTGACAGGATGCTGAAATTATTAGAGGCAAGAGTTAATTTTTGCCCAATGAGTCCTTGATTCACTTTATTGTTCAAAATTCATCAAGTTGCAATTTTCTTGCTTTTCTTTTTTCCGTGTCTATAAAATAATAGCCAAAAAGCCTCCAAAAAATTTGAAATATTATGGTTTCAGGAGGGAAGCCTTTGAGCTGAGGAGGTTTTCAATGCAGGGTTTTCAAGGAAATTCAGACAGGGACTTGAAAAAAAAATTCTACTCAGAGAAATAGGGAGAGGAAAGAGGGACATCGAGGTTCAACTTTGGTTAGTTAAATGAATTTCACCAAGAAAGAACGGCACAATTAAATTCTTCAAAAAGTTATCAAAATAAATAGCGCGGTTTTCTTTGTTCTCGTTTATACATAAATGCTTGCATTAATTATGGGAACAACATCAACAGCTTCCAACGAACTTGGCACAACGTTGCTGCAGTCCGGAGACGCAATTTTCTGGGCCAAATGTTACCCCCGGGATACGGTGGCAGTAACTTTGAATGACCCAACCGGGTTCACAGGCGCAGTCACCATACACTCACCACAAAGCTTCCGTTTCCCGGGTTCCCTGGGTTGCGGGGCCACGAAGCAGACATTCCTCAACGCCTTCGACGGGTTGGTGCTCTGGAAAGCTGACTGTGGACACAGAGCGCAGTCACCATACACTCACCACAAAGCTTCCGTTTCCCGGGTTCCCTGGGTTGCGGGGCCACGAAGCAGACATTCCTCAACGCCTTCGACGGGTTGGTGCTCTGGAAAGCTGACTGTGGACACAGGCCAAGCTCAAAAGTAAGTGCACATTAACTTGTAGGACAGCTGTATGAGATTAAATAATTAAATTCCTGCAAATATTTCTTTTTCTTGGAGAACACTGGGCGAGATTCAGTTTTTCATCTATTTTCTATAGACTGAACAGATATTTCTGAAAAATAAAAGAATACATCCTAGATGCTTTTTAGTTGGAATTATAACCCGCACCGGAATTTTTGAGAGAATAAAGTCCACATTTTCTTTCATTCAAAAGGAAACAGTGCTTTTTTCAATTTTTACAATTTTCTACATACAGTATCATCTTAGGATCGACACATACTAATTTTAACCTGACGGTAATTTGAGACTCCAATGTATTCTGCACATTACTTGATCAAGCCTAAAAGTATTTTGCATACCACGAATGCTTTCATCGCTTTTCATTATCTCCATCATTTTTCAGTACATAATCAGAGTGAGCAATGCCAATGGCCAAGACATCACCGACGCCATTCTCGACTGTCGCAAAACGTCGGTAATTCTGGAAAGAAGCGACGCTGAATCGCCAGAGCCTAGAACTCCTTTTCATTCCACAACGAACGAAATTCGCTTCCTCTCCGTGCCTTGAAAGAAAATTTCCCTGCTGTATTCCGAACGTCTCGAAATTAAAATATATGCGTACACTTCGCCGCGAAAAATGGTTCACTTCGCACGAAATTTCCGAACGTACAGTATAACGAATGTTCACGCAATCACGAAGTTCAAAAAGGGAGTGAATTCACGTCACGTTTTTCTTGGAAAAAATAAATAAATGAAGGAGAAAGTCAGTATCAATGGCGTCTCCGCCTTAGATTTTCTTTTTGCGAAATATTCGCTAAAATGGTACACAAATTTGCATTCATTGAAATGGTTCATTTTTACACGGTAAAAAGGATAAGTTTATGGAAGCATCTGAAGTAAAGAAGTAGACTCTGAGAAACCGGGATCGAATGAAAAAGAGGGCATTTAGAACACGTATTCATCAGCGTCATTATTCATTTATTTTTCTTTCTAGAGGTATATTGTGATGCTTGCGAAGCTCAGTTTGCAGGTACTGTAAATAAAGAGAGCCTTTACAGCATTCGCAACTATAACTCATTTTATCCCAATATATTAATCTGCTGCACTTTTCCGTCCAATCTTTTCATTAGTGCTTCTTTCAAGGCAAAGTTCAATCTGCCTTCATAAATTTGAAAGCTAACCTTTTCTGTTTCAAGGAATTCCAGGGGAATTTCTGGAAGCAATAAAAATGGCTTCTTATTTTCGCGTAAATACGTTATTTCCTAAATGCTGCTTGTGAGGAAGAAATCCCGAGTAGTGTTCCACTTCTTCTGGAGTCGATGAGTTACTTCTTTGCCCAATGAGTGATTTAATCACGAATTCTTCCAATCAAGCTGGTACCTATATACGTAGGAAATAAACGCAAAAATATCTATTAAAAAAACTCGTAAAAAAAATTAATTGATGAGACGAATACCCGTGAAATTCGGCATCAGCAAGGCAGCCTAGGGCCCCGAAATACCCCTCGTGCTCGAGAAACAAGGCCTTCACGCGACCTTCCGACCAGAAATCCATCCCGCGACTCAGCAACAATTTCGCCAAGGAATTCAGCCGGAGAAAATTGCCCAAAAATAGGATCTTGTCCACCTGGAAATTCTTCGCAGTAGTGAAGGCAATCGAGGCCAGATTGTTAGTGATGGTCATGAGCACGGCCCGGGCCAGATCAGCGGGCGAGGCACCGTCTCTGCGGGACGCCGAGTGCATGTGGCCAAAGCTGGACGCCACCGTGTTTCCTTTCAGGTTGAATCTGAAGAAAACGTTTTACGAGGAATTTTCAATTTCTCATCCGAAAAGAAGGGAAATACGGTATATATTCATGAATAATATCTAAGATATTCATAAATCTGTTAAGCTCACTACTTGAATACTGAACATCTCTCAATTCAATCAGAGCATTTCCACGAAAATTTATAAACATTCCAGTCCTGCTAAAGGCCTCAAAACTTTAAAAGCATAGTTTTGACAAGCAGGTCCTCAGATTTTCAAAAGTTTTCCAGGGGAACAAATTTTTTGCATTTTCTGGAGTAGCTATCTTTTTTGCTCATCAATAAACTGGGAAACTTTTCTGGACAGAATTTTTCCAACCATGTAAAATGCAGTTTTTTTTTCTACGCTTGAAACAAAAATTGTGACAACCAAGACAAAACCCTTTCCACTCTAAAATTACCTTTCATAATCTCCACCATAAATATCACGAACAAGTTTGTCGACTTTTGTGTTGTCCCCTTGCGAGGCCAATTTGAGCGCTTCTTCAAATGTGTTGCAGTCGGTCAGCAAGGCACAGAGACCTGTGTGAAAAAAGAGAAGAAAAGAAAACATTACAGCAATGAAAAACTTCTGGAAATTCTGCATCATTGAATTTGGAGAATGAGAAAATTTGAAGTCGGTACTGTATATACCAACCAAGGAATGTTCCACCTCCCAAACTGCTTCCGCTGACTCTTTCGAATCGATCTGCTCCTTGGCAGCACAATATGCTCACACCAGACCCCACATTAACCACCAAATATGGATAAGATTGCGCCAAATGAAACCTTGATTTCAAAAACGTACACAAACGGGGAAAATGTAAGATGAAAATGAAGTGTTCAGTGAGTCCCAGCATAATAAAACTAATCCGTTCCCAGATACGGGAAGAACATCTTCCTCGACAATATTTTGAAAAAAAAGAGTATTTTACATGGAACATGCTGAAATGCATCTCAACCTGATCTTCCCATTCTCGAGACACGTGTCCTCCAACACGGGTTCTTGCAACAATCCGAAAAGCCGTTGATCCAAGCAATAAACCTCGTCCGGGTACAGACTTTCCAATGCACTGATCCCACGCACCACTGCACTCAACTCGTCCATTTTCCGCAACCGACGTCGCAACTGCACCCTGATGGACTCTTCAAACTTGAACGCACCTCCGCCTGTTGCCGAAATGACCTCAGGGCCTACGCTGGTTCCAGAATTACTCTGACTCCTTTTGGCGAAAGATCCCAACATCGATTCGAACTCCGCCGTCTGAAATCTAAAGAATATAACTTTTAGCTGTCGAGTGAGACTCACGAGCAGGTGATTCATGAATTATGATTAGTATGCAAACCATAAAGAGAACCCATATAATGGGTAAAAAATAAAAACATTCAATTTTTTTAAGCTGACCTGATACATTTTTAGCTACCTGTGATGACAGAGGGGGTGGAGAACCCTGGCTGTAACTGGAAAGTTTTCCCCTTTTATCATACAGCAAATTGAAACACGTTTTTAAAAATCTGGAAGAATATCCCAATACAGTACCTTAGATACATAATGGACAATGTCACAATATTTTTTGACATAACACCTACTTATAAGAGGTCGTGTCCAACTGGGAGAACCCTCCTATACGACACACACAATGAAGAAATTCATCAGGGACTGAACTGCAGTATCAAAAAAGTAGCACGAAAACGTTTTTCAAATAAAATAAGATCATTCACTCGCCTCACGAAGTGCAAAGATCCATGAACACCGAACAACCGCACCTTATCCAATCGAAGCCCAGAATCTCTTACGCCGGTCTTCTTGTAAGTTTCGTTATCCAAAACCATTCGACAAAGTTGTTCTGAGAGTCCGTCGGAATTCAAACTCGCATCATCCGGACAAAATATCACCAATTTCGCCAAAGTGCCGCCAATGTCGACACCAATCGGCACAACTCTTTCAGAAGCTGTCGACATCTTGCTTGATCCCAAAAACACACAGGTTTAAAAAAAATTTCTGAGCCACTCCTTCGCAAGCATCATCCAGAAAACTTACCAACTTCCAGTCACTAAAAAATGAGGCTAACGAAATACAAGTCGAGCACGAAATACAAAGATTCTTGGGGACACGACGGCTGTGGAAAAAATATGCAGCGTCACTTGGAATGATCAGCAGACGACGAAGGATCTTTTTTGCATCTCGTCGCTTTTATACCTTTTCTTTTCAGGCAAGAAAAGAACGAAATAAAAATGTACGTATCGTCACAAACTGTAACAGAAAAAAAACAAGAACCACACAACGATTGTGCCACCATTCGCACCTGTCCTTCACATGTTGCTCCAGCGCAAATTTTCGATTTAAACATGGCCAGAAAACGTCAACAAATTCACCAAGATATTTTTCAATTTATCAATTGTCGGAAACAGTCTCATAAATTTCTCACCCATGTTTTTCTCCAAGCCTGAATTCTCGAAGAAAACAAAAGCCCAAATCTGGGTCTACAAAAGAGGCTTCGAATTTTTATAAATACAAAAAAATGCCATCACAGGGAGCAGACAAAAAAGCCTAAACAAAAAGAGACGGCACGGGCCTCAAGTCAAAACAAAAAGACACGCAGAAGGCAGCTCGATTCTTCATGGTTCACCTGGACGCAATTCAACAACATCGGAGTTTATCAATAAATGTTTGAAAAAAAATTAATTCGAGGAAAGAAACGGAAATTCTGGACTCGAGCGATGAAAGGTTTACGACTTAACGAATTTTGAGATATCTGCTCAAAATACGTCTAAAACTTAAATTCAATACCCGCCTCATCTATTTGAAAATAAAAAAAAACAAGAACGTGCGCGTTAGTTACCAGTTGACGTTCGTTAACTTTTTGGCATTCAAAAGAACGAAAAGGATTGACATGACACGCAAGAGGGAAAAATTTCCAATACATAACTTTGTTGCTCGTTTTTAGCGTTACATTCGTTTCAATCCATTGTGGTCAAATTTCGTTGAGTGCACTGCTTTCACAATTTTTCAATCGCAAATTTCATCAGTCAAATATTAAAGTCAACCACAGATTGAATAAGCAGATCCACAACGGGACTTTCGTCTGAAAGCGTTCACTGAATTTTCCCCATCAGATTTCTTCTTTAAAAAAAAATGAAATGCGATTGAACTCATTCCCACATGCCATGGACATTCCCCTCCGTCCCAGAGAGCAAGCGGACGAATAATACGAAGAAATGCGGAATCATCAAATGAATTTGTGGAACTGAGAAATTCTACAACGAAAAACAGGGAAGAAATCAATCACAGCTCGTCGTCATTTCTCGGGCGCACACGTTCTGTTACAAATCGAACTCCTCCCATCGACTTCAAATTTCCTTTTTACACCTAAGCCTCGAAAGCTCTTCTTTGTACATTTCCTCTGTCCAAAGAAAAACTCCTCTTCATCCGTTACACACAAAAAAAAGAGTACCGTTTGTAGCAAACGGCGAACACCAATCCACTTTCTACCACCATCTCCTCCCCTGGAGACGGAAAAAACAAACGAAGTACAAACAATGGCTACGGCACTCTTAAAAAGACGGACGTGTCGGTTGACGGACAGAAATTTTCAAGGCCTCAGTAGTGTACCTTCCACCTCCAACCCACTTTCTAGAAAACAAAAAATTCCACTGGTGGCACCATAAAATTGGTTTTGCTTTGTTGTAAACGATAAGTTTTTCCTTTTCTCGTTCCACACACCAGTTTTTCCGGTCGTCTACACGGGCTTCAACGTGGCAATCACCATCCCCTCCCAAAGGGGCACAAGTGCGGAATCCTCACCAACCTCTTCCTGGACCGCGTTTGAGCCGAACTCCGGATCTTCCCTCTTGAAAAAGTACCTAAACCCGCGTCGAGGAACAATGAAAAACCTTCGATTAGAATTATATCGAGCTGCTTTTCACGCAGATTCTTGAAAAAAAATAAAATATGAGACTACCTAGTCACTAAAAAAGGTCATGCACAAGACCAGTTATCATCGTCCTGATACTCTGAGGTCAAATGAAACTCACCGATAATGCCCTTTCCGAGGTACAACCTGCTTGAACTGCTTCAGGGTCACGTTGTTGCCAGGTATTTTCGTTCGAAACGGCACCCGGTCGCCGTAAAAGAACAGACTCACGATCGTTGAGGCGTTAGGGTCATCGTCCATCGCTATACCGGAAATCACCATTTCTTGTCGAACCCCTCTGCGCGGAAGAGACAAGGCAAAATAACATCAAAATTGAGTTTCACACTGGCTAGATTGCCCAAAACCCTAAGTAGATGCAAGTTGGAATATACATTTTCTAGCAATTGAAAATGAGAGTTGTCCTGGAGGATGGAGGCGATTTCAGAAGATTTACAGCAAGATTAAAGAGTTAAGAACGTCGGCTACACGGAACTTTCACTTCACGGACCATTGGGATCAAATAGAAAAGGCGGCGGAGCGACATCTACAATTACAGTACTTGCATGGGACATTGAGTCAGGTGCCCAGTCATGTTACATTATGTATTTGCTTGTTTTCAGATGTCACCAGTTCATGAACTCCAACCACACATAAACCTGCTTCCAACTTTTTTACGATCTCCATCGTGCCAACGATCAGTTTCTTCTATTTTAACCATATGCTGGGGTGGATTTATCTTCTTTTCATTCACCAAAAAGGGAATCAATTTATTGAACTTTTCACACACCATTTGAGAGTACTGTACATAATAAAAAAGGCTTCGGAATGCAACCCTTCTCAGACCCATAAAAGCCGATTTTTCCACAGGTCGATTGAAAGTATGTTTCAGTTGTTCAATTTTGTGAAAAAAATAAAAATTAAAAAAAAAACTCCCAAAAAATTACACAACTAAAAGCATAAAAAAGATATCATTCATATGAAAATATACACGCACATTTTGCATTTTTACCCGGGGTACGACAGTTAATGAAAGAGCCACTACTTGTCTTGAGAATCGCGTACCTGCTTCTCGATCCAGAAGAACCATTGTTGAAGAACTTGGCAGATCCTGGCGGCCCACGATGCATGAAATGCACTCCCGAATCGTCAATCGACGTCCCGGGCTGATGTTCTTGCACCTGCTGATACTGCTGCTTCCACGACAGCCGACCGCCGCTTCGCTCCATGGACACAGAACGACCCGAGTTGGACGACGATCCGGCCGCCATGTGGCGTCGGTGAGATGAACGGGACGCCGACGGCGCCTGGTCTTGCAGCGCCGACGTTGACGCTCGGCTCCGGCGATACGAAGATGAACCCCTTTCACTGCCGCCACCCATCTTTTCGGGCTGCTCGCACTTCTGGTTCTGGCTGACCCACGTCAAAACCCTGCGTCGAAAGTGATTTTATGTTACGAACAATGTTCTCACAAACGATGGTCATTCGCCCAGATAAAATTGATTAAAACTTTATTCACCCGAAATACGACCACATTAAAAATTTTAAGCATTTTCCACATCATTTTCACGAGAACGTTTCATTATTCTTTTCATTTCAAGTTTCAACCCATGACATTCCCCATTTTTTATTTTTTACTCCTGAAAATTTGCTGCGTTCCGACTGAGTTTTTGGTAAATCTCTAGATTCAACAGATTCTCTCGATCGGAGCAGAAAAATTATTCCACGATATTCTTCGGCGGAAGATCAAGAAATCAAGAATCACATTGACAGAGGTTTTTTTCAGTTTCGTACATCCTGTTCAAAGAGGAGGTAAATTTTACAACACGAAATTTTTAATTAAACTTTTTTCCGAAGGGACTCAGCGAGAAGGAACTCCAGAAGACATTCGTTCTTCGGCAGTGACAGTGGTCGCGTAAAAATCAAGAAAAATTACGTTTATCAAGCGTTGAGAAGATGAAGAGAGACAAGTCAGACAACTAACGAACAGGCATTTAAATGCCAGAATTGCCACGAGATTTTTGGAAGTGAGCCAGACCATAACGTTCAAGATGGAGTGAACGTGATTAGTCGCAGACATGAAGTGATTGATCTCATCCCTCAACAACGGCTCGTGAGTAAAAATTTACCATTTCATTCTTTCACTTGAACCACGAAGATTCCGTCAGCGGACGAAAAACCAATCTTTTTTAGAATATCAATAACGTCAAGTCTCTCCGGATACGCAAATATCTGCGCGTTGAACTCGAAACAGACGAAGAAAATGTCTGTCTTCAGTAAATTTCCAAGCGAAAGTTTCACCTTTCACGGGATGACAGGGGTTGGTTGTAAGATGCATTGGAGTCTGCCGAAATGGCGCTAAGTCCACTGTCTGTGCAGCCTCCTGCTGACCTCAGGTGCTGTTTTTGATTGGCGTCGACCAGCCAGTCAGGCACTGACTTTGACTTGGGGAACCCATGACCCACAGCGAGTCCGTCGAGAGAACTCCTCGAGTCCAGAACGTTACCTGAATCTGAGGACATCGATGATGACGCATCCTATAAAAAAAAAACGAACATCGTTAATTTAGTCCAATGAACAAAATTAGCACAGTAGCCAGGCCTTCCTAAAATTCGCAAATATAAGGTAACTCACGTTCTCATAGATAAAAAAAACAAAAAAAAAACAGGGATGCTTCGATGGTTCTTACAATATCACAAGGAGATGTATGCCACAAAAAATAAGACAGTTTAGCAAAAAATATAATTGAATAAGATAATACCTTCGACGGGTAGCGCCGAAAATTATGTCGTATTTCATAAGAGGAAAAGACAAATCTGAAATTCCCCGCCATTTTTTTCTTTCAAAAAATACCTTCTCGCGTTGTTTGCGGTGATGGTGTACACGATGGTGATGCGACAAGTGGTCCGTGCCGAGTCCCTGGAATCCAACGGGTTTTCCAGCCCCGGCGTACACGTAATGTTGTCCAGGGGTTGTCACGGATGTACCCGATCCTATGAGACCTCTCGCAGCTCGAACCCCACCAGCAAACGGCGGCAAGTTCGAATTCCCCCCACGTTTCGCAGCTCCCGGGGGTGTTCTTGGCGTCTGCTGCTCCGAGTGATCAGCCCAAACCCGGTCAACATGATTGTCTGTCGAAGTTTCATTTTCATCAAGTTATCTCCATTCGCAGAATAGAAACAATAACTGCTCATAATCGTTGAAAAATCATACTTCAGCAAAATTTCCTCCTTTCCTGCTTATTAAAAAAAATATAAGTACTGTACATCGGAGGTTCGCGTAAGAGTTTACATATCATGGATTCCGAACTGACTCTTTTCCCACCAAAATCGGAATAACATTGAAAGTAAATTGAATATTTTTTCTTCAAGAAAAAGTTTGTCATTGACACGAAAACTCGAGTAAAAAAAAAAGGAACGCTCCAAGAAACTTACCTAGAATGGCCTGATCCGAATCAAAATTGTCGTCGTTGCCCGCTTTGATCTTTTCTTTCATGGCCTCGACGAGGAGAACAGATAACGAACACGACTTCTTCTTATCATCTTCCGCTGGCTCCATTGCAAGCTGGAATTGAACACACAACATTAATGACAAATATCACTGAAGACGCTGAAAGAATTTAAATTATTTCCGCCTTTTCCCGACGTTGGAAACGAGAAAAATTCGACGCTTACCTTGATCGCTTCTTGCTCCCGTTCTTTCACCACAGCCTCCAATTTTGAGATCAGCCTCTTCGCGAATTCAGCTGGTTTTTTCTCCGCGAGCGTCTGAAAACGGGATGAAGATTTTCATTTCAAATTATTTTCAGGCTTAATCCTTCACGGCATGAATAATTCCCCTGAACCATACAATGCAAATTTAGAAAACCATATCAAACCTCATTGCTCTAGGCTATTTTTTGAAGAATAATAAAAAAATTGAGGGGTTTACTTCGAAAGTCAGTTGGTAACCCAGGATTTAGGGAGGTCATGGTTGCAAAATTTATTTCACGTGAAGGAACAAAAACTAGCGAAAAGTGTCGTTCCTGATCCCTCGCGAGTTCGAAGGATTCTGATAGGAACTAGGAAACCTAGAAAACTGGATTTAATTTAAGTAACAGGCCTGACAAAAATTTGGAACTATCCCTCGCATTAGCAGTTACACTTTCTGGACTTTCCTGTACACTAGTATCATTCTTGAAAGTTTTAATACTCCCAAGAGAATACAAATATAAATCGATGCGAAACAGTCGCATTTCTACTCCGCTACAAAAACTGAACATAATTCCAAAGCACAAAACGCGGTCAAGTGCAACAAAAAGCACGAGGCTCACTGACCGAATCATAGGCCAAGGGTCGCGCCGTTCTCGGGATGAAGAAGGTGCCCGTGACACGGTCACTTTCCTTGTTCTCCTCCGCGTTCATTCTGATTTGCTGCTTAAGTCGCCGATGCATCTTATGTTGGGCGCTGGCGTGGATGTGCGACCCACTGCCCACATGACGGAGGCGGTGATGCGATCCACCGCTACTCATCCCGGCGGTTCTTCTGATCATACCCGGCTTCACGCAACACGTGTTCGAGCAACCCGGTGGCGGACGACCATCACTACATTAAAAAAATGAAAGCAAAAATTGAATCAATATTCGAAAACCCATTCTTCCACTTCTCCAGCTGGTATGTGATAGAACAGCGCATGGGACGACGACAACGAGAAATAAAATAAAATCGAAAAGCTGTGCATTGGAGACAACGGGTCGTTGACTGACATCTTAATGCAAAATCGTTTGCGGAAAAGCAGGACGACGAAATATCTTTTGTTCCGTCGATTTTTGTTCGAATTATCTACGTCATCCTGCAAGAGGTGGGCTCTCTTCAACGAAAATTCACGGGATCAGAAAAATATTCGTTGTAAAAAGCCCTTGAAGGATGAAGAGACATACATACGGGTCAAAGAAAGAATTACTTTTTAAACAGAGAAAAATCGCATTCCCGCATAATCATAAGAAGAGTTAACTCAGAGGGAACACTGAAATTACAGTCATTTGCTCGTTTGAAAAATAATAATCTACAATTAAGTGCGTCCAAAGCCCACTTCCAATGATAACGATTCGCACTACCATCAAAAACAACACAGCAATAAAAAGTAGGAAGAAAAATGTGCAACAAAACAAAAAACAGTGGGTGAACTCACACAGAGGAAGCACAATCGTCAGTGATCGTGGACATAGTGTCGTCGGTGAGGGCGTCAGAGCTGAGACTCTGCAGCTCACTGTCTTGCCGAGAAACAGGCACGTAGGACTTGTACATAGCATGATATGGATGTAATGACCCGCCGCCACTGCCGCTAACCACGCTGGTGGCGGCCGACGTGAGGCCACTAACGCTACTATGGGGACCAACTTCATGCAAGACAGCCGCGGTTTGCCTAGTCGCACGAACAACGAGGAAGTGTGCAATAATAAACAAACAGCAAAATAGGATGCCGCTGCATTCAGTGCATTCAAACTCAGAACGCTTCACGGCATTTCCAACCAATCAAAGGTCTCAATCGTGTTTCAAAATTACACAAATGATGTTTTTTCGAAAAAAAAACGTGCACAAGGATCAACATCAACTCACCTGTACGCCATTCGATCCGAAACTGTCGCCAATAATGCCTTTCGAGTCAATGGAAGCGTCTGAATTGGAGCAGGCTTGATGATTTGATCAGAAGGGACACGAGGAATCACACGAGGCTCTTTTTCTTCGAAAAATGCAGTCTGTTGCGGACTGCATAATTCCTTTTTTTGGGATTTCCGTAGCAGTTTATTCCGTTTTCGTTCTTCTCGCTGAATCTTCTTCAAGCGCCTCCGTTCGATCTGATCTGTCACCGCCTGGAATCAAAATCCAAAAATTAAATAGCGTTCTTTCACTTGAGATGGATCATCAAAAACTTACCTGGAGGTAAAGATCGGATTCTAAAAAATTCGCGTAAGTTGAGCGACTGAGATCATTCTCCACTTCCTGCTGAGCACGATCGAGAATGGCGCTCCAGCTACTGGTAGGAAAAGCGGCTTTTGTCGCCGAGGACTCTGGTTCTAGTCCCAGCTTTTCCACAATGGCACGCCTGGTTGATTCAGAAACCGGAACTGTCTGATTTCTGAGGAACTTACGGTAGATAACCCGGCATAATTTTTCGACCTGCAAAGGAAAAAATTCCACAGGAATGAGTAAAATGCTGCGGAAGCATCACAACATGAGGGAGGTGAAACATACCTCTTCGTCACTTTGACCTTGTTCTTGCTGCATGCCAAAACCACGACACGCGAACCAGAACTGCAATGGCTCAGACGGACACAATTCCTGATCGAGATACGTTTGAAAAAGCTCTACTCCTTCGGAATCACCAAGCAAGTTTTGCAAACTGTTTGCCCAAGCAAAGCAGGGCGGACGGCCATGAACAGAAGATGAAGACGACGATGAAGAGGCAGAGGTATCACTCCGGTTTGACGGCGAGACCGAGCGCGAGGTGAGAGTAGACTCCGCTGCACTTCCTTCCGGAGCGAAGTCAGGTGGACGTTCTCCTTCTCGTCGACCCACATCTTGTGACGCGGCTTTCACAGATTCACATCCTTTCAAAATTTGCTTCTTCTTCCAGGGATCCAGAGGTGGAGGAGGGGGAGGAGGAGGAGATGAACTGCCACCAGTCTTCCCATCGGAAAATTTTACCGCCGTTTCTTCTCCTACAGGCAGAACATTTTTGGCACATTTTTGAAAAACGATCACGAAATTTAGATAGAGAGACGCAAGTTTGCCTTCACTCACCGGGAACCGGAGGACGCGGACCTCGATCTTTGTCGAAAACGGTCGCGTCAGATACAAACCTCCCTTCGACCGGAGGCATGGACGCTTTCTGTTCGAAAATTCTACACGATTCATCGATAAAGGCATCCGGGGACAGCTTGTTCTGCTCCAAATTACTTGAAGCGTCATTCCGGGATGGGACGGCATCCATTACAAGCCATTTAAGGCACAAGTCTTGTGCATCAGCACATTTTACACTTCACTGGATACATTTTCACTAACCGAAATAAAAGCATCAGTGCAGGAAACAAAATACACCACACTGGCAGGAACCTGAAGACAGTATACGAAAACGTAAATCGATCGGTCACGAATGGGGGATTGAGCTCAAAAGTTTCGGTCTACGAAATTCTCACACAGGATCTGCTTTCAATTGCAATGAAACTTTGCACCAGTAATTTAACCACTGCAGCTTCTTCCTGCTTAGAAGTCCTCCAGAAACTGAATATACAGTAATAACGAACAGATACATTTCCCAAAACGCTGACTTCCTTCCGTCTCAAACATTATTACGGAAAAGAGCTTGACAATATCATGTCCACTATACTTTAGTACAAGCAGTAACGGCACAACTGCTCATAATCGTTCACCAGGCTAACACAGTTCAACAAACCACCTCATGGCCGCCACACCGCCGAGAGGGCAACGGCAACACGAAGCTTTTACCGAAAAGATGGTACGCTAGTGTATCCCAGTTGACCCTACTTCTGGGATACTGGACTCTCGGCTCTCCATTTCGGTACAGTAACTTTGTTAAACCTCGGCCTTCAAATTTGTCAACAGAACTGTACTGTTATGTCCTGTACTGTACCTGTACAATAGCTATAGCTACCGCGACGAATTATTTGTTATAACCAGATTCCTTGTAATGACATTCTACAGCAATAGTGAACAGTTCTAACGTGGGAGTCATGCTTACACAAGCATAGTAAAAGATGCAATTTTCTGGGTGTCAACCTGAAATTTAGCCTGAAAATGAAAACTTCTCAAAACCCCAAATATTAGATTTTGAAAAGTTTGATAATTGAACCAGAATACTCATTGTCTTCAAGCTCATAATAACTTCCACACTGCTACGTGGTGAACCCAATAGCGAAAATCAATGAATATTACTCACTAATAAAACATTAAGAATGTTGTAAGTTCATGTATGGAATACAGTAGTATATTATCTTCCTACACCATTCTTCAACATGTAATTCCTATAGCTGCAAGCATGCGCAGTTCATGAAGTCACTCATTCATAGTGTTGAGGGATGGATAGGATTAGGAAGTGAATAGCCCTCTAGGGGAGCAGCTTGGAAGTATGAGTTGGAAGGTGTACTGTACTACAGTATAACGTCCGGACAGGGTGACAGCATTATTTTAGTGGAGCATTGGAACTCGGATTCCGGTTTTCCGAACGGACATCCCTGGGGAAGTACATTCCGATGTGAGTGAACTGTTCAGCCCGTGGAAAATTTCAGGAATGTGAATTGTTGTTGTGCTTGCTATATGGTCTGCTGTAATCGTTCTGAATTGGACCCGGAAGACGTTGATTGTTCGAGCACCGCCGAGAAATTTATGCGCTCACTGAGTCCTAGTTAATAAACCAAAAGCAGCGATGAAAAGCGAATTTTAGGCTTCCTCTGTTTCGCAGCTCAGCGAGGAGGAATTGTGGATTTTTGCTTATTTTCTACTGTATTGGTATCTCTGCTGAATTTCCTGTGCCGTCCGCAGATGGGTGAGTTGTGCTTAGTGTTGTATGCTTGAACTGACGTATTCGGTGTAGTAGCTGTCCTGCATTAGTATTTGGTCCTGATTCTTGTCGCTAGAGAAAACGGATGTTCGCAGCCACAGTTCTCATGTTGAATCATCGCTGTCCGCTGTGATGTCAGAGTCAACCCGAGCTGACGAATTACTCTTGCCGGTGTGAAGTCTTTGTTTTGCGGTATTTCTTCTTCGCTTTCAGCGACACCTGCCTTTCTTGAGGGCTAGTTTGTGTTGGCGAAAGCTTTAAATGTCGGCCAAGGACATTTCTGTATCTGCGCCGCGTGCTTAGAATAAACGCATGGATTTTAAAGATGTAATTTATTCATTTAGATAATTTTTCTCCCTGAATTTCAGAGTGAAAGCGCCGAGATGGATCGTCAAGTTATATTGCATATTGGGTCTTCTACCGGTTCCACGAAAAAGGCGGACGTTGCTAGAGGATTGAAGTACTTGTCTTTGATAAGCCTCACTTTACAAAATGCCGTCAACAGTATTGCTGTGCGTTACACGCGAGTTTCATATCCTGACCGCTACGCAACTTCAACTGTTGTATTGTGGTCCGAAGTTGTCAAGTTGATCGTCTGTGTGATTCTGGCTGCCAGCGAATCCGGCGTGAAATCGTTGAAGATTGTGACCAATTCACGTGACACTCTGATGGTCTCTGTTCCTTCTTTTGTTTATGTGATTCAGAACAACCTTCTCTTCACCGCTGCATCTAACCTCGATGTGGCGTCCTACCAAATTTCGTACCAAATGAAAATCTTGGCCACCGCTGTTTTCTTCGTGGTCATGCTCAAAAGAAAAATTAAGCCTCTTCAATGGGCCTCGCTATTCGTTCTAACCATCGGTGTTGGTATGGTCCAATTAGCTCAGATAGAAGGCAAACCATCCACTCATGCAGCAAAAGATGACCGGCTTTTCGGTTTCATGTGTATCTTCGCGGCGAGCTGTTTATCTGGATTTGCTGGCGTGTATTTTGAGAAGATCTTGAAAGGCTCACCAGTGTCATTGTGGCTCAGAAATGTGCAGTTGAGTTTGATTTCGGTTCCCCTGGCTCTCGTTACTTGTTACATGAGTGACGGTGAATTGTTGACGACAAACGGCTTCTTTTATGGGTATACACCGCTAGTTTGGGTCGTGATTTTTCTCACATCCCTCGGAGGTCTCATAGTTGCAGTGGTGATAAAGTATGCGGATAACATCCTCAAAGGCTTTTCAACCTCAATAGCGATTGTTATTGGATGCGTGGCAAACGTTATCCTCTTTGAAGTTGAACTCAACTTGCAGTTCTTTCTCGGAAGTTGCATGGTGATAAGCGCGGTTTGGTTATACAACTACAACCCTTGACAAGTCTTGGGTTCCGGTGCTTTCACTTCTGGGTTGTGTTTTTCCCGAACAATGCGTGTTCACGTTACTTTTTGTGATGTCAGGAAATGTCGCTCGTTTTACGCAATTTTTCGTGCTGAAATCGGTTTGTGTCGGGTTTTTTTTTGTTCTGAAAATTTTGCGATGTGCTTTGAGGAGGGTTTGATCGAGGGAGTTTTCGAGATTGATATGCGGTGACTTAGATTGACGCAACTGTATTCTGTTGTATGACTCATAAATTTTTTTTCAAGCACGATTCGCCTGTGATCTACTGCTGCACAATGCGAGAGGATTTCCGGCGGTTGGTGTATTTTGTGGTACGAACGTTCGAATGGAAATTGTGAACGACGAAAGGATATTTATTACAGTATTCGCATAACGTTTTAAAATTCTCCAAATCTTTTCCATTGCCATGAATGCTCCAAGAAGACCAGTTCTCCAATAGAGGCCATTTTCTGATAACTACCTGGCCTGGAAAGGGATTCATCACAGTACAGTACTGTATTTACTTGATTACCATACGCCCTTTCTTAAGTCGCGCACACTGTTTTTTCAGTCAAATGTTTTATAAAATACTGTCTCCAAGTAAGACATTCCCCCTTTTAGTGACTGAATCTAAAATATTTTAAAAATTGGAAATTCAAGAATTTGTTGATCCTGATAATTTCAACAATCTAGTCTTGAGCACTGAACAGTGAAACCATTTCCCTTTAATTCCTTTCTCATTTCCAAATATCAGAATTAGAAAAATGTTGTTGATTCTAGTAATTCCATTATCCAGTCAAACGCTGAACGAAGAAACCCTGTCCCTTTTGCATTTTATTATGCAATCTTGTCTAATTTTCAAAAGTCATTGATAAATCCCAGTTTTTTCCTACTTTCCTGTGGGGTTTCCCGATTCTTACTTTTCCTCTTGTTCTTCAATGGAAATAATTGCCAGTCTTCATTAAACTCCAGGTGAAAGCGAAATATTTTAAATAAATGCTAAGATAGCTTATTGGAGCATGTACGGTAAATTTTCTTTTCGTATCTATGTAGTGTGGAAACAAATAATTACGAAATTTTGAACTATTTCGTTCTAGTGACGATGGAGGACGACGATGATGACAAAGAAGTGGACGCGCAAGTTTTGTTCCACGCGGCGAGAGACGGACTTGCGCGGTACCTGAGGTACTTGTTCGAAACCCGACCCGCGTACTTTTCGCAAGTGAATGAATTGGTGCACGACTGTGACAACCCGCTGGTGAAATGTAGCCCGTTGATTGCGGCCTCATTCAATGGGCGACATGAAGTTGTGCGGCTCCTTGTAGGGAAATGTGGAGTGAACTTGAATCTTGAAGGTTCTATCATGCTACATGGACATTTGATTCACGGTGCGACGGCATTGTGGACTGCTGCTGGTGAGTCTGTTCACCTCGATATCGAACCATTTTTGCAAAAGGGTTCGAGTAAACAGAAACTTCACATCTGCAGGAAAAGCCAAGGTTGAGAATGAATTCAATTTTGAGCTACAACTACTGTTGAGATGAATTTGAAATCAAAGAAATGTTGACTTCACAGGCTTTGCATTTGTAGGGCCATTTACAATCCATGTTAGAAGCAGGTCAAAACTGTGACATTGTGGGTTTCCATTATACAATATTTTCAATTAAATTTTCAGGGAGGAAGTTCACACAAGAGAGAGATGTTTATTCACGGATCAGACTATATGGGTGCATTACCGTAATTGTTCTGATAAGACTTTTTCTGTGGCTAACTTGAATGTATCCGTATTTTGAACTTCATTGCAGGCCTGAAGATCCCCTGAAATATTCGAACGACAGTATTCATATTCGCATTTCGCTTTTCAATCAAGTTTTAAATTCTGAAACTCCTTTGAAAGAGAAGACAAAAATCGTTGCTTTTAATCCTCGTAACTGAATCACAGGAAAGGGGCATTTGCGTGTCGTGAAGATACTGGTGCGAGCAGGTGCCGATATAAATCACATGACCCTTGGAAAGTCCACCCCATTACGAGCAGCGTGTTTTGAGGGGAAGCTGAGTGTGGTCAAGTATTTGGTAGCACGGGGTGCGGAAGTGGATGCGTGCAACGAGTTCAACAACACCTGCTTGATGTTGGCAGCGTCTCGGGGTTGTCTGCCCGTGAGTGTGCCCCGCTCTCTTCTTTTCCGCCCACATTTTACAATAAATTGCTCTTTCATTGACTTTGCGTGGAGTTGTGGGAAATTCGGAATTGCACCTTTAGGAATGGCTCAAGCAGAATACAGTTGAACAGTGCGTGGTAAAATGAGAAAAATTTAAAATTATCATTAAAATTTAAATTATTACCCCAGGATTGAGTGGTGTTACTGTTTATTTCTCTATTAAAAAGCATATTCTGTTTTAAATCTTGGTGAAGCAAGTGAACCGGTTCTGACATGGGCAGCCCTGATTTAGACGATGGCTTTTCAATAGGTCGGAAAGTAGACTTCTTCAAACTTGAGATCATGCGCTTCGCTCGATGTTAGAGGATTTTACTTTGCATTCAATGCACAAATGTTTAAAATATTTGAAAAATGATTTATTTGCCCAATCCTTCCATCAGATTCTTGGAGAATTTTCTTATCATTACGTGTTAACCTCAAATAATGATGAATTAGGGAGCATGACTTGAACACTTTACAATTACCAATGATGATTCTCAATAATAGTTCACCATTCATCATGATTCTGTGGATAGAAAACTTCACCGCGATGTCGGAATACATTTAACCTTTTGAAGGTTTGAAATTGTATAAGCATAGCAAGTCCACTCCAGGTGCAATGCAAGCACACTATGTGCATAGTAAAGTACTATATTTACTGAAGTACCACGCACCGTTGAGTAAGATGCGCACCTAGGTTTTCACTTACCAAAATTCATATATGAAACGTTGTTTCTGGTAAAAGTGTGAATTCAGGCCCACTTGAAAATGGAAATTCAATAATACTATCTTGGTTCCTTACCAATAATGGTGGTACAGTATTGAAATGAAGACATTTAAAAATAGGAAGACAAGCTTCCAAAAAGATTGTCAAAAAATGTCGCTTGAAAAATTTTGTCCAACTGACACGCTCCTCATCTTTTGCCCCAATATTTTTGAAGAAAAAAAAAAGGTGCGAGTGGTGCTTGAGTGAATTTGGTAATGCAAAGCCTGGAGTCAAAGGTAGCCTTCTGTTGGGCCACGTGTATATGCACCAAATTTCTACAATACACACATGCTTAATATTTTTAAAATACTGTAATTCCTTTTCCCAATCGACCCGTGTTCGCCACTAAGAATGCCTTATTTCCTAAAGGAAAAAAAAGGTTTATCTTTTCTCCCGTATTGAAAGCCATGTTGTTTCGCTGCCTTTTCGTTGTAGGTGGTTTCATTTTTGCTGGAAAGCGGCGCAGATCCCAACAAGGCGGCAAAGTGCGGCGCCACTCCCCTACACTATGCGGCCGAATCGGGGCATTTGGACGTGATCGACAAGCTACTGAATGCCGGTGCGAGATGGTCCAAGAACAACTACAGCTGCACACCTGCCATGTACGCTGCCATGAAGTGCACAACTGACAGCGTGAGCTTCCTCCTGGGCCTGGTTCGGGCGCCGATCGAAGAGCGCATCAATGCCTACGAACTTCTCGCCGCCTCCTTGGCCATTTCCGGCAAATACGACGCGAGCGAAACCGCCTACGATTGGTTCCTGTTGACGTATCAAATGCGTGGCAACGAGCGGCCGAAGGAGCCGCCGAGTCGGGAATTGGCAGAGAAGTATGTGGGCCACCGAGAGACCCAGAACGAGAGCGAGTTGGAGGACATCAAGTACGACTCGACTGCTTTGCAGTTGGAAGGGTTCGTCATTCGTGAGCGAATCCTGGGTACGGAGTATCCCGAATATCCGTATCCCATCATCCAAAGGTCAGTCCGGTGTCTGTAAAAAAAGTATTTTTAGATTAGTGTACCTTTTGAACAGTTCGGCGTGTTCAAAACAATTTCTATGACAGACGAGTGCCGAATGAGTCCTGAATTTTGTTAGTATCATAACATTTTTATCGAAAATATCTGTTGGTTGTCTGCAGGTTTCAAAATTAATCATTAAAGCTGAAACAACTATATTTTAATATCTGTTTATATTTTTCATGGAATTTACTGAGGTTTCATGTACAGTACAGTACTGTAATGCGTTCGTTGATCTCACGTATGTCATGTAACCAGGTACAATACAATTGTAAATGATTGCCTTTTTATGACGAAGAGACAAGGAGTCGTTTTCATTGCTTCACAATATTAACATGGCTCAACTTCATAATGTGCAATTTTTTCTTTTTTAATTTTTAGAGCGGAAGTTATGGCGGTTGGTGGAAATTATGACGTGGCAATTGCTCTGTATAAAATTGCGTTGACGTGGTTTTGGGAAAAGAATGCGTTGCACGGTGTGATGAGGATATTGTTGGACTTGACAAGGATTTTTGGTACGATTCTGCGAGAACACGAAGATTTTTATCTGAATATTAAGGACGTTTTGTTGGTGTTGGAAGTGTATGCAGACATGATGGATCAGATTGTTGTTGGTAGACGTCGTCCTCTGACGGCTGCGTGGGTGAGTACGGTAGTTCGACGTTTACTGCAGCGGATGGGCTATTAATTTGGGCTTTGTTTCTCTTTAGGTGGACGAGAGAGCAGACTGGGCTCCAAAAAATACCAGCACTCCTCTGTATTGGGCATTTCAATATTTGGCAATTGTGAAACATGCATATAGCTTAAATAATAACGCTACACCGGCGGACATCTTTTCTTTTCACCGAGTCGTCTACATGTTTGTCAAAGTCGGCGCCAGGGACTCGAACGGCAGAACGATTCTGCACTTGGCTTGCTCATCGAAAACTCCGGTGGATTTCGGACTGGTCGAGTTAGTATATTTCACGTCTCGCTGACGCGGTGCTTTTCAATTTTTTTGAGTGCTCGACGATGTTGCGATTTATTTTCCAATTTTTCAATGTATTTACATTATATTATCGATCAACGCTTGTTTCTTCAATTCAGACGAAGCCGAAGAAAATATTTTCTGTATTACTAAATTTGTGTCAGCCGACAGATTTAGTCTAGCAAAGATGTTTGTCAAACTGTTTTTAAAATGCATCTTGGATCTTCATATGTATTGTAACGTCCTCGACTTAATGATTTTCCTAATCAGAATACTGTGCTCTTATTTTGAATTGCTCAAGGTCTTGAGTACAATATTTGCATGAGCGGCCGAGTATAATTGGGTCCCATTAGCTCAAAATACTTATTTCAGGCTCGGTTACATTACGATGTTTTCAAGGGATTTTGTGGAACCGACCTGTTCACATTTCTCGATCTCGATTCTGAAAGTTTTTAATCCTGATCGAATTTTGATTTCTTTTGGGGGGAAAATTGCCTGAAGTCTTTATTTGATTTTTGCAGGCTTCCTTCCGTCGAACTCGCGGAGCTGTTGATTGAATGTGGTGCGAACGTGGACGAAATTGATGGGGATGGAAATACGTGTCTTCATCTGATTGCTGGTCACGCGACTCCAGTGCAAGACTTTGAAAAGCTGCATCGTCTCGTCAACTTGCTCCTGGACAGTGGTGCTCATCATGACGTTGTCAACAAGAACGGTTTGACTGCTACTGAAGCCGCAACTTCGCGTACGTGTTTTTTTTTTCATATGTGTTTGCACAATTTATTTCTTCAAGTACTGTAATCTTTCTCGCTTTTCTGTGAGCTTCATGAAAACCGTTTTTGCGCTAGTATGAGACGTCTTTTTTTATTGTCTTGCCTCGAAAAATCGGGATGCGTTTTTTGTGCAAAATAACTGTCTATCGAATGGTCAAACGATAAGCTTTTGTTGAAAGGATTGATTTACCTGAAGTTCATTAATCATTCATCCTTGGAACTACTGTATTTCCAAGCATGATATGAATCAATCGCAGGGAAAATTTAAATAATCCAAAGCGCAGGATTATAATAATGTAAATCCTGCTTTGTCAACAATAGGCCGTGATAACTTCGTTTTTCTGCGAGTCGTTTTTACGTGCAAATTAATTTCACTCGAAATGAAAATTTAGTTATCTTGAGGATACGTTATAATTTATAAATGAGTATGTGTTTTTTTCCAAGTTTTTTATCCACTCTGCATTATACGATTACCGTATTGCCTTGCAGTACTTCGCGAGGGTCAATATTGTAGTAGTTACCCCATGCATTTTCGGATCATTTCGAAGGGTTGTAGAATGAGTGCCAGTCTCGGGATTAACGTCGCATAGACTAGTGAAGAGGGTATTTCAAGAAAGAACTCCTCTTGAAATTTTTTGCACTTCGTGATATTTTAATCTGGTCTCCAATCGTTTCCTGAATGAAAAATTTTCCGTTTTTCTTCAGGTGTCATCGTGCCAGTGATCAATTTGAAGGCAGGGGTTCCACTCCTGAAGTGTTTGGCTGCAAAAGTTGTCAGTTCGAGTGGGAGGTATTCGCTCTGTGACATGAGTGTGTTACCATTGGACCTGCAGCTGTTCATGAAGATGCACGGAGGACTTAGCATGGAGGCTGCATCAACAAACGTCTCTCCTGCCTTTGCACCTTTCCCTTCCACCCCAGAATTTTGATCTTTTCGGGTTTAGAACGTGTTTGTTGATGAGTCAGTTTCAAGGAAACTCGGTGCCCTATTATACAAGTCATCAAAAGTGTGTTAATCTTTGCTCGGGTGAGGATCTATTTTTATTTTATTTTTTTTTTGTCTCTCTTACCCGCAGACTACGGCTTAAGTTTAAATCAAGCTGTTGTGAAAGTAAAAATTGAGTGTCACGATTGTGCCTTCATGTATTGCATTGCGGGTGTAAGAAGTTGTTGTGCCGTCCCTTACCCCTGATATTTAATGCCGTGGATTGGTAAAATGCTGCGGAAGCTTCAATTCATTTTTGTTGGCTTTATTTAAAATACCAAATTTGAGGTTTTTTCCTTTTAAAAAAATTGATAACGGGAGACCATTTTTTATAAGGTGCAAAAATGTGAAGCCCTCGACTGTGATACCTTTGCGGATTCCTGTTCAAACTCTTCTTTCTCCGGTTTGAGATTTTGAACTGTGCGAGATGGAGTCATTGATGAGCAGGTGATTCAGCTTTTCTATTGAAATGGATTCTTCATTTCCGCGGAGACTGGCTCCTTTGGATGATTTGGACCGTGACCCGACGAAGTTTACTGAATTCGGTGACATCGGTGAGGATGATGACGAGGAGCAGAGCGGGTTCGGAAATTCGCTCGCCAAATGGTTTTTTGGCTCTTCGGGCACCACGCCGCAACGTTCTCGTGCTGGGACTCCGTTGGTCGTCGAAGAGCCGCCCGTCGAAGTATCGACATCGACGTTGAATGAACAACGAGAAAGAAGAGAAATTGCTGCGGTATTGAGTGAACAACCCAGTGTGCTCGACAGGTGAGACTGAAGATAGTGTTTTACTCCGAAGAAAGCTCGCTAAACTTCGTCATTCTTCCTACTAATGCTAATATTACTGATGCTGATTTTCTGAGTAGTGCTCCAATTTTCGGTCGACTTTGTTGAAATGAAAAAGATGATGAAGGAGAGTGAGGAAATTCTATTTTTTCCTACACGTTCATGTCAAAGGATTTCGTTGACAGTTCGAGTGCTACAGTGTATTTTAATTTCATTTTTTGAAAAAATCTTCGCGAAGATGATGCTATAGATATTTTTCTGTGGAAATCAATGTTCTGATTTTGCCGATGTTCATTTCATCAATTCTGAATGTGGAGCTTACAATATACATTGCTGAGCACAAAGATACAAGTCTAGGATGCAATCGAAGAAAATCTCGATTGAATGGTGAGGTTTTCTTCTAGTGATTTACTGTGTAGTTTGGAATGTCCTGAATTTAAAAGATTTGATAACCAAAAAAATATTGTCAGCGGTATGGAAGCTTTTTTGAATCTTCGAAGGCCAATCGAAAAAAATCTCGAGAATCAATAACCTCGAATAGCTTCACCTGAACATAACCCTGTCCGAGACATTTTCAAATTCCTGTTACCGAGTATTTATTTCTCGTGCGATGATCTTCCAAAAGGCAAATCCAATACTGTATTTTCAATGGAGAGAATTTTTCAAAATTTGCAGGATCAAGAATCTTTTCGGCGGGTCAGGACCATCAGCAGAAGCAGACCTGAAGGCGTTTTGGATGCCGGACGCTGTGAGCAAAGAGTGCTACGACTGCGGGGAGAAGTTCACTACTTTCCGTCGTCGTCATCATTGCCGAGTTTGCGGGCAAATATTTTGCTCTAAGTGTCGCTCGGAAGAGTTGCCTGGCAAACTGATGGGCATTAAGGGTAACTTGAAGGTTTGTAAATACTGCGGACGTGTCGCATCCAACTTTGTGAATGCCAATCCCGTTGGCAAGGGTTCGGGGAAAAACGACGTGCTCGACGACTTTGGACCGAAGGAAGTCGTCGACACTTCGAGATCTCCGGCCGAGAGTGAGTTCATAATTTTATCTAGAAGTGTACGAGCGGACTGTCGCTATGCAACAAAATTCAAGGGACCCGAAAAAACGCGTTGTAGGAAGAATTTCGTTGTAGAGAACGACGAACATGTTATATGGGTTCTCTACAACGAAATTCAAGCAACCAGGGTTCGCGCCGTCGTTATATTCTTAGAAGCACGAATTTTGTGTAAATTCAACGAAATTCGAGGGACCAGAAATTTTTTTATAGAAAGAATTTCGTTGTGGAGAACCCATATAACATGGGGAGAGAAGCCTATAGGTTCGAAAAAATATTCTTTATACAGTACAGTACAGAAAATATCGTTGTAAAGAGAGTTCGCCTGCATTACGCACGCATTACACTTCAGTTTGCTTTTGATTTTATGAATTGCATGTACTGAACTGATTATTACAGAATTTGAGTCTTCGACGTCGTTCGTTTCGATGCCCGAGGGTTCGGCGCGGAAAAAGTCGGCAGTGGGCTACCAAGAGGAGCTATTCACGAGTCCTCGCCACAGCTCGTCAGTGTCGGCGCCGTCGTTGAGCGACGGTTTTGCAGATTTGATGTTGGCAATTGCGTTCTGCACTGATCGATTCCACGCTGAGCACGGAGACGGCATTTTTCTGGGAGCGGACTTCGTGCGTTGGATGCTGCGGGAAGGCAAGTGCGAGACAGAGCCGGAAGCTGAGCGGAAAGCCGGAAGCATGGTGACGCGTGGCATGTTCTTACCTGTTGACGACAGACGACCAGCACTCGTGGGTCAAGCCTGTGTTTTCGACCAGGACGTCCCGTATTGTGTTAACAAGTTCCTGGATTTCAGCGGAGAAAAGCCGGAGGTTGGTGTTCTCATATGTGTTTGTCTGTGTGTCTGCTTCTTGTTTTATAGGGTGCATGGGAATGCTTTCGAGTACTTTGGTTGTTTTCGATGATTCATCGCCCGGTGATGTGAAGAGAACATCGAAATGATAACCTATTCCTTCACAACTTTTTCGCGTACATTTTTGTTTTGTTTTTTGAAGTCTGAAAAATGAACCTTTTTGGTTACTTGATAAGAAATATTTGACTGTGCATGTTAACCTTTTTTCGTGAGTCTTTCAATGGTTGGCGGCGAGTTTGAATGAGACTAACACGAAAAACGACATCTGCTTTTCTCCGCATTTCTCGCGTGATTTTTTTTTTTTCTGATGTGAATGGCATCTTTTTTTTAAATTTTCAACGACAGTAAGTCTCTCTGCTCGAAAAAAGTGAGAACCAATCTGTCAAAGTTGGATAATTTTGAGCATTTAGCAAAACCTGTAAGATTCTTTCTTCTAAGCTTGCTGAGCTCATTTTTCTTTCATGTAAAAGGCTTATATTTCCTTATATTTTTTGGTCTGTTTTATTTTACAGGGAAGAGAGAGCGATCCGACGTGGGTAGAGCAAATACACGGGACTGACCAGAAATCCAATCTAACCCCGTCGTCAACCACGCTGTATTTGAATTCGGCGCCTGAAACGAGCGGGGAAATGTCAGCATTTCCGTCTAGGAAATCCAGAAGTTCCGTCGACTCTGTTGTCGAGGCCACTTCCTCCTTGCATCCGGATCTTTCCATGAGCCACATTTCCGAAGAGTTTCTTCGAGAGTCAGTCCTCACTCCCATGTCCAAGCACGGGTTCGTCATTTGATCATGGGGTGTCGTTCACGTAATTTCATGATTTTTTTTTTCTGGACAGTTCGCCAATATCCGCAGCTGTTGGTTGGCACTCTGCGAGTACTTTGAATAAGGAAAATGGCGAGCTTGCGGCTTTCACCCAGCTTGTGGAAGGATACAAGGAGCACGAAACACGTTTAATTCGTCAGTTGCTGGACCAAAATGGGTTGGATCAGGATTGGGCAGGTATCATCATACCACTTGTTCACAAGATCGTTGAAGTGGTTCGACCCGACGTCAAGAACAGCGACGACATGGACATTTGTCAATATGTTCAAATCAAAAAAGTGAGTTTAATTCTGACTTTCAATATCCCATCATTATTTGACACAGTGAATACGCGTCGTTTTATGACACGCAGTCCTGAGTGTGTCGTAAAAGAAGGCAGTTTCGTCACAGTCAGGCTCGAATTAAAACAAAATTGGTTCCCATTTCTATTTGTTTGGTGAAGTGTGCAATTTGCAATCTTTTCTTGCACAAATTAAAATTTTAATTTTTTGCAGTACCCTTGAATATAAATCTAGAACTTCCGGCAAAATCACGCGTATAAATTATTCAGACCATCACTAATAGTTTGAAACATGCATTACATCTCATAAAACTTTAGAGATTGAAACTCAGTCGAGCTCCTTTTCTCCAGGTTTCATCATTTATTGTGTTATTTTCCTTATTGAGATGTACATTTTGAGATTGAGTGCACGGAAAGTAGGTACTGAGATAACAAGAAATTACCCATTTTTTTTACTAATTTAAAGTCAAGTTTCGCTTTGTAACATTGCCTGTCAAATATAGTTAGTTGATGACGCTCAGACAAATCAAGAAATGAGACACAATGGAATTAGCAATCATCTTTTGAAAATAACGCTTGGAACGCATAAAAACTCGTGGTTGCTCTGCAATTCCACAGTTCTTTTGGGGACATTTTGTTGATGCATCAAATGTCATGTGTGACTCATGTTCAGGTTCCCGGGGGAAGCAGATCAGAAACGAGTCTGCTGAACGGCGTCGTGTGCACCAAGAACGTGGCGCATCGAACAATGGCGGTGCGATTAACAGATCCGCAGATTCTGCTGCTGGGCACCTCGCTGATGTACCAGCGCGGCGAAAGCAAATTCATCTCACTCGAGCCTCTAGTACTGCAAGAGTACGAGTATCTGAAGAACGTGGTGGCGAAAATGATGAGCTACAAGCCGGACATCATCATGATTGGGAAAACGGCGGCGCGGGTGGCCCAAGACCTGTTGAAAGACTGCGGAGTCACGCTCATCATCAATGTGAAGCCGAGTGTGATGGACCGCGTCGCGAGGTTGACCCAGGCCCAGATTGTGCCGTGTATGGACGCGCAGATTGTCAAGCCGCAGCTCGGCCTTTGTCACAGTTTTTATTTGAAGTGATTGACGACCATCTATTTGTCAATTCATCCATATTAATCTTTTTCTTTTTGTGGTAGGACATTTGAAGATCACGAGCTTCCTGTGTCGCAGAAAACGTTGATGTACTTTGACGGCTGTGCTTCGCATCTCGGGCTCACTGTGGTCCTAAGGGGTGGAAACCGACATGAGCTGAAAAAGGTGACTTGCATTCTGGTTATTATTTTTCATGCCTACTATCCCAGTCTTCCCTTAATTTATGCTATACTTCATCCTCATCATCGTTTCGGGGGCGTTGCCTTGATCATTCCTTTGGAAATAAATATTTCGTACAGAGTTTAATCTTAGTCCAATCTTGTGTATGTTGGCTTTGTTTTGCAGGTGAAATCTGTGATGCAGTTTGTGATTTTGGTGGCGTACAATTCGCGCCTGGAGAGGTCGTTTTTGATGGACGAAGGCGCCATGCCACCGCCGCCCAATTCGATGGAAGATGTCCAGCTGCCACCGTCCAATGAAGAATCCTCATCAGTGTGTTTTAATCTCAATGAATCCGACGCAGAGAGTGAACTTGAAGCGTTTCGCGTAGCTCTTCGCGACGCCGTTTTGTACAGTTCACCGTTCTTGCGGAACGAAATCCCGCATTTATTGACACAGGCTGGAATGGAAACCGAGCTGAGGAAATTCTTTCCACCACGCTTGTATCCTTTGGGCGCCGTCGAGTATTCGGATTCGGAAACGGATAGTGTCGGTGGTGAAAGGAAGAATGTGTTTGATTGCGGTCTGCCGACGTCGGAATATCATCCTTTCATCACTGCCAAAGTGAGTTTCGATTTAATGATTTAATAAAGTTTTTGCTGTTCCGATCCAAACCACTTTTCCACGTTATTAAACGAATAAAAAAACCTATAGTTGACTTGATCTTCCCTTTTAATGGTGTTGTAAATTATATTTTTCTCTTGTCAAATTTAATCAATGTGAATGATACTCCTGAAAATATAAAAAAGGAAAATAAGAAGCGAGTTCGAATTTGAGGATTGGTTAAAACGCAAGGGAGTTGGGATAATGATGAATATTGTACTTTTTTATCCTTTTCATTGATTTGTGATTTGATGGTTTTGTTTCTTCGAGTTGTTGTATTATATAAAAATATATATTTTGCTGCAATCAATTTGCAGTACATTGATACTCTGGTGTATTTTGTTGTTGTTTGGGCCAGGTGACGTGTCCGGAGCAGAAGGTATACATGCTGCAGAACCTGTTGGCCGATTTCCGGGCCAGGGGCGGGCTGGTTCGCCCGTCTACTCGCATCCTGTTTCGGGAACGCATGAAGACGCACTGTTCCTCTGTGGCAAGCAGTGCTTTCACGGAAGTGGACTACTGTCCCATGTCCGACTCGCGGACGGAAGAGATGGATCGAGCCGCCAATGCCCTGGATCCTCACAATCATCAGCGAATGGCAGTCTTGTTTTCCAGCTACTCTCCGACCTCCAACAACGCTCCCAATTATTGCACGAATCCCTGGGTTGTCAACATGAACTTTTACGGGACCAATGACATCCCGCTGGGAGGCTTTTTGGAGAGATATTGTTTCAGGTTGGTGAATGGAATCTACTCATGCGCACGAGCACTGCGTTGGGGTTCGATTCGTTGCTTGTCATTGTTAATATTTGGGCATTTAATGGTGGTGAGGTTCAAGATATTTCCGAATAATCTCTTATTTCTCGTGCAAACTAAGCGCGTTTATTTTTTCATTTAGATGGAAGTCTGAAATGTTTTTGCTTTGCGGATATATTTTTTTATTTTTGTAAAAGATATACTGTAGTTGAACTTTACTGAACTTATTCCATATGTCGAAAAAATTTTCGAGTCTCCATCTTAATTCCTTTGGAAACAATGCCCGAAAAACCTGCTTAACTCGAAGGCTTTTACCCTCCAACCTACAAGACTCGAATTTTTGGGGGCCTTTTGGCTATTTTTTCATTGAGAGAGGAAAGAGAAAGGCGATAAAAATGTAATTTGATGTGTTTTGAAAAGAAGCAAAAGACTAATGAGGTGTATAAACCCTTGCATCCTTATCCAGCATCTTTTCAACTCATTTATTCTACAATTTAAGGCCCAGAATATCACCAATTGCAATATCCTGTAATTCTTTTTCTCTGTCGCCAAATGAAAATTCTGGTTTCTTTGACTTGCATTTTTTGATTGTCCCCTGAAGTTCGACTTGGACAGATTTGACCAGTTTCAATTCCGATTAGAATATTGAAGAAATGTTCGCTTGCGAATATGTGTTACGCTCAGGGTTGAAACTCTGTGGGCGCTGTTGGAATGTTTTCCGTGAAAGGGTTCGATAATGCTTCTTTTCCTTTTCGTCTCGTCTTTTCAGAAAAACGTATTCCTGCCCTTCGTCGAGTTGCGGTACTGGGATGATGGGTCACATCCGCCGCTTTGTCCACGACAAGGGCTGCGTGCAAATCATCATGCGAGAACTTTCCGAGCCGATCCCGGTGAAGCACCAGGGCATCCTGGTGTGGAACTGGTGCTCCAAGTGCCAGCAGATATCCTCAGTGGTCCCACTCAGTCTCGACGGCTGGGGACTCTCGTTTGCCAAGTACCTGGAGTTGCGATTCCACGGCGGCTTTTACAAGCGTCGCGGACTCAAGCCCAGCTGCCAGCACTCCTTGCATCACGAACACTACCAGTACTTTGGCTGCGACGATACCGTCGTGTCCTTCAAGTACTATCCGATCTTGTTGCGCGAGATTGTGTTGCCACCGGCGTTGGTCGTGTTCGGGAACGCGGCGGCGTCGGTTGCGCAACTGCGGGCCACGTTGATTGACGAGGTGTCGAGTTTGAGTGTGCAGGGCCACGGGAGCTACAGCTCCATTTTCGAAAAGCTGCACGAGCTGGAAGCTGTGGCGGATCCCGGCAAGTTTCAGGACATGCTCAAGGCCATGTCCGAGGCACTGGACGGTTTGCATTCCCAGTTTCGCGGGGTGCTGGAAGAGCTGCAGCTGTTGCTGGCCAATCTCAAGTCTGTCGAGAGCAAGGTCGAGGGAGAGCAGATTCTGTGCCAGGTTGAGGGCAAGGTCGTGCACGTGAAGGTCTTGCAGTGCAAAATCATTTCCGCGTGGAACTCTCGCATCCAGGAGATTCACGCGGTGAAGAAGAAGGAAGAGAAGGCCCGGCCGTCGTCGTCTCGAGTGCCGAATGAGACGTCGGCGGCGACCGTGATGGAACAACAACAACAACAGCAGCCGCTGCCGTCGTCGTCGACGTCAGACGTGTCCGACGTTGGCGACCCGACAGGAAAAGTGCATCGATCGGAAAGCACTCATAGTTTGGTGGCGAATCCATTAAATACTACGTCGACGACAACGACAGCGATGAATAATCTGGGTGGGAAAACAAATGTTTTGACGAGCAAGGAAGTGGGTGACGGGAAGAAGAATCCGTTTTTTGCGACTCTCGCGTGTTTGGCGAACCAGCCGCTGGCGTTTCCGTTTCCGACGACGCAGCACTTGTTGCTTCCGCCGTGTGTCGGGATGCCGGTCATCATCTACGAGAAAGAGCCCAGTTCCATTGTGGCGTACACTCTGAGTTCCGGCGATTACAAGGATTTCATCAAGGAAGCGGATCTCAATTCTGGTAACTTTCGTGTTCAGTGCAATTATTGAATGCAGTAATTTTTTGTTTTGTTATTGTCGACTGCCCTTCATCCCCGAATACTAGATTTTGTTTTTTTTGCCAGCACGTATAGATGTCGCCTGAATCTTGTGAAGTTTGGGTTGATTTTGGTGAACTGACATGGTTCATTGGTTGGGTTACAGTACAGTATTTTTATTTCTTTTTTGTTTGAAATAGATAATTCATATGTCTTCCCCAAGTGCCTAGAAGTTGAAATGCAAATCTTTTGAAGAATACTCTGTATTAATGTCTAACGCAGGACGCATAAATCGGCGTTCATCGTTGCATTCGGGTTTTGTGCAGAGGTTGATGACATTTTGTTTCATTTTTTTGAGTTCAGCAGCATATTTTCAATTTTTCTTGCTGCAGTAGATCGAGAAATGGTATATGAGAAATTTTCGTCACCTGCTCTGGAAAGCTGAACTTCTTCAAATTATGTACCATTGGAAAGAAAGATCAGGCCTTGAAAATAACTTGCAGTTTGTACTCGGATTTTCAAAAATGCAGAAGGCACGAATTGATGGTTTTGAAGTGGAAGCCGTGAACGTCTCGCTGGTTACCTTCCAACCTGGCTGAAAGTTTTCTTTACTTGAAAATGATCTCATCAGGATTATTTGTATCCCAAAATGGTATTATTGGTATCCCATCGAGGAAAAGGGAACTCGGATGATTCGCTTAATTATTATAAAGTTCCAGTTCCTGCGAGGTCTGGCGAATTTTAGAACTGTTCGAGCAGATTATGACGTTTGTTTCTCTGTTGCCAAACGTTTTATAAATGTTTTTCTTAAATCTGTACTGTATTTCCAAACTGAGACGGCATCTTCACTTTTTCGTAACATCTGACGAGTGTTTTTGCGTGCACATTTAGTTTTTTCGTCAGTCACGTTTGCCCGCTGATTTTTTTTGTCACATGAGGATATTTATTGTTGCGTAAATTTCTCAATTTTGTTGGTTTGTTTGCTGTTCTCGGATATGCAGCAGGAAGCAGGCAAAGGCGCAATTCCGGAGCAAGCTCTTCTGAGCTCTTTCTAAGTACTGAATCCCGGAAAACGGGAGTATTGAGCTTGTTTTCGGATGCAGTTTCCGTGCAGTCGGTCGGATCGCTGGATCACGTTTCATCCGAAACGCAGCAGCCGAATCATCAAGATAAAATCTCAAAGAAATTGGCGACCAATCATCCGGAATTCGAGTTCTCTGATCCAACTGGTGAGTAAATGCAATCATTTCGTGACAGCCAGCTCATCGTCGCTGCCAAATGGCATGCGTCATGTTGGTCTGGTGCGAAGGTTATTTCGGAAGTTTTGCCCTTTCTTTGATTTTATTTTTCTTATTGATTATTTATTCAGTGGCTAGTTTTTGAAATGCAATATTTAATTGATGAATTTCTTACGCGAAGTTCAAATTGTTATTTACATATGTTGAAAAGGAAAGCAGACAGACAACGCACCCCAAAATTATGAGGAAATCGAATTAACATGGTTTATGAAATGTCAGTGAGTCGAAGTTGAAAATATTCAATCTCTTGAAAATATTCAAAATAATATATAATATTAGAAACGTATTATCAACAAAAAATATTAAATTTACTTACGCATTACTATTCGATGGACTAAGTCTTTTCATCTTTGCAATTTTTGTTTCGTGAGTTTTTATTGTGAACGTTGTATTAACATTTCAAGAGGTGAGCGAGGCGTATGATTTAAATCTGATCGATTCGAACAATGGTTGGAGGATTTCAACTTTGCCTAAAAAAGAACTGGATTTAGACGGTCTGACATAACTTGTCAACTTTTTCCCCCTCCAGCGTTGTTATAATTTTCTCAAAATGGTTTGTGTATTTGTTCATCTTTTCAGGTAAATTTTACTGTCGCGTGTATTTCGCCGAGGATTTTCGAAATTTCCGTGCGAAACGTTTCGACGGGCTGAAGGGCGAAGAAAAATTTGTGCGAAGTTTGGCTCGTTGCGTTCCTTGGGCTGCAAAGGGAGGGAAATCCGGATCCGATTTCTGCAAAACGGTCGATGATCGGTTCATCCTCAAGCAAATGAGCCGTTTCGAGATGCAAAGCTTCCTGGACTTTGGTCCCCACTACTTCAGACATGTCGTGAGTAGTCTCGGAAGGAATCGCCGTCATTCCTTTACTTTTGTTCACGCGAAATGTTTCCCTTTTTTTGTTTACGCATTAAACGTTATACCGTATTGACAGGTAATCCCTTCGGACTCTTATCTGTTTTATCACCACGGAATTGAACGCTCTTTAGTGAACATTTTCTTGATTATTGGTTTCAAAAATAATATTCATTCGATTTACGAGTATTTATAAAGTAATTCAAATTCTTTTTGGACGAAATGACTGCGAACTTCTCTTTTCAGGAGAATACTAATGCGGACGGAAAACCGACGGCACTTGCCAAGATTCTCGGAGTATTCAGACTCGGATACAAGAATACGCAGAACAATTCAGGCTCAAAGATGGACGTTTTAGTGATGGAAAACCTCTTCTATGGTAGAAGGATCAATCAGAAATTCGACCTGAAAGGATCCGTGAGGAACCGACTCGCCAAGGACTACACCAAACTTGAAACTGACTACGTTTTGCTGGACGAGAATTTACTGAAAATGACTTGCGGGTGAGTGAATCAAGGATTTCATGGAAATCGTTGCTCTTCTTGCGTCATGGAACGTTTTGATAAATCCGAATTTGCGTTTGTGTCGAGAAAAAGTATAAGTTTATTTAATTTTTCAGTGAGACCCCGAGATGCGGACGAAATTGGTGCTCGGACCTTGTTGCTATGTCGGAACGTCCGCATGTCGGATCTCGTTTTCCCATAGTTTTGATTGGAACTTATTTAATTGGTTTTCCAGTTCATCAAAAATTTGGAATATACTGTATCACTAAGAAAATTGAATAAAATGTGTTCCTTAACTTGAAAATACAGAATGTAACTGTGCAGAAGAAAACCTTGCAGAGTTATTTTCTGCATCAAAATGACCTTTTAAGACAAAGGAAGAGTACTTCTTGCTAAACTCCGCGCAGATAATGGAGAATATGTACTCCAAAAAAGATGAAGCAAAAAATTAACCCGTTATTTATTAAATGTCCGCATTTTGAGACATTATTGTCCATATGTCGAGGCATATTTTTGAAAGTGTTCTTGAGTCAAATTGTCCGTATATCGGGGTCTCATTGTCTTTTATTTGATAACAGGAACCCCCTGTACATCAGGCCGCATTCGAAGCGTGTTTTGACCCGGGCCATCACGCATGACACGGAATTCCTGGCCGCGCAGGACGTGATGGACTACTCACTGTTGGTGGGTGTGGACGAGGACACCAACGAACTCGTGGTCGGCATCATCGACTACATTCGCACTTTCACTTGGGACAAGAAGCTGGAGATGGTGGTCAAGTCGTCGGGCATTTTGGGCGGCCAGGGCAAGTTGCCGACGGTTGTGTCACCGGAATTGTACCGGGCCCGGTTTTGCGAGGCCATGGACAAGTACTTTTTGTTGGTGCCGGATCGGTGGACTGGTTTGGCAAGGCCAGTGTGTCAACTCTGACGACACGCTGCAGCACATGAGGCGGCGACCTCCTCCTCCCCCTTTTTTTCATCATCTCTGCAGCCTTTGACCCCTTTTATTGAGACGTGAAAATTGATGTACGCGACTGTGATGGCTTGTGTAATATTTTATGTTTCAGCTATTTCTGATGCGGTGTGGGAGAAAAATAAAAATAATTTTGAAGCAATTTTACTCATTAGAAATAATGATTGTGTCTTTCATTCTGGCCATGGGTTGACTTACTCAGTGAAACTAAGGAGCAATGATGAAGATGATGAAGATTGATTGAAGACAGCCAAATAGCCTTTCCTGAGAATCTCCTCAGCAAGCTTCTGGGAAGTGATGTTTAGATGTACTGTACTTAAAATGGACACACCCAAAATAATTTTAAGCCCATGAGGGTATTGATGCATTCCAATAGGCAACCAAGTCAAGTTCACTATTGTGATCACATCAGGGTACTGTACAGTATAAGAAAAACCAGAGCAGATGCATTTCTTCTTCCCTCCATAGTTTCAAAGTTTCCTGACATTCATACTTGAAGCTTGATGAATAGTACAGTATAGGAAAATTCAAATTGTCATGAAACAAGATCAATGAGATTTTTGCTTTGACATAGAAATACAATAACCTGGATAAAAATGTGTGTGGGATAATTATAAACCCCTGCTCATGCAAAGCATATGACTTAATTATAGTAGATTA